AACGCATCAAAGGCCGTGGGAAAGAAACAATAAAAAGTGCTCTTTAATCTTTAAAAGGCAAAGTGCGCTGTTCATATTTCTTTCTCTTTTTCGCGTGTTAACAAAGGGCTTATTTGAATTCAACAAGAACAAGATTTCTGAAAACGATTTAAAAAAAAACAATGTAAAACTTGTGTGGCAAAGAAAATCCTCTATATCTAAGAGCTTGTTGACATATTTAAAGTAAGATCACACGTATAATACTCGTATACAGTGTGTTTCAGCCAAATGGAATAAATTCAGCCAAATGGAATAAAATGGCGTGGTGGGGGACCGCCTAGCCGGGTGTCTTAGCCGGCGGATTTCGATCTGCCGAGGCAAGCATCACGGACGCAGGCTGGAATTTGGATGGGTGACCTAAGGCAGGCTCAGGGACGTGGCTGTGGCAGCCTACCAGAGACCTGGGTCGCCCAACATTTGCCGCATGCGTGTGGTCCCCGATAAATGGTAATGAGAACAGAGCAAAGAAAATCTCTGTAACTCAAGACCATGCTATCATACATAAACTGTACGAGACTTTGCCACCAAGCCACCCGTGTAGTAATAGGATGGTTTGAAGGAAAGTACTCGAGTAATGAAGGAGGGTGTACAAGGGGCCTAATAAGGTCTAAGTGCCGCGGTGGAAAAACAATTCCACCACCCTCCGACATACATACATACATACATACATACATACATCGGGGCGTGTTTGAAAAAACGCTCGGACACGTCGATTGGTATTTTTAGTTGCGCATTTTTTTACCAAAATTTTTTATACAGGGTGTGTCATGTAACAATGGTCAATATCAATTTTCTTATTTTAAACGCAACACCCTGAATATCATTCAATTTTTGGATTCTTCAGAAAATTCTAGACATTTCATGTACAATGTCCTATACCGATCTTCAACTGTTTCGGAAATATTAAGTGTTTTCAGATCTATTGCAAATATTATTTGATTTAAGAAATTCGCTACAACACACTCAAAAAAATTAATAAATAATACTGTTTATTTATTGATAATGTAAAAAAGCAAAAAAAAAACAATAATGCCAATGTAGGAGATGTTCAAAATGCTAACATCCTAATCTTAAATAGAAATTGCATCTAACGTTACTCAACATCTCAGGCTCAGGCGTGACCGATCTAATCGCAAGCGTTTTTCGTCTTCTTAAGTCAGCGAAGTCGAGGGGTTTACTTTGGACACAATACTTTTGACATATCCCCATAAGAAGAAGTCTAATGGTGTCAGATCAGGGGCTCGTGCTGGCCATTCCATCAATCCTCGCCTACCTTTCCACTGATTTGGAAATATTCGGTTGAGGTACTGCCGCACTTTGATTTGGTAATGGGGCGGTGCCCCATCTTGCTGAAACCATATCATATTCGCTGGAATTTGTGGGTTTGCTGGATCAGGATATAAGTTTGTCAAAGTTAGCATGACATTATTTTGGAGCAGTGCTAAATAATTATCGCCATTCAAATTGCCTTCAATGAAAAGGGGACCCATGATATGATCTTCAACAATAAATTCCTGCCCAAACATTCACCTTTTCAGGGTATTACGTATGTTATTCTGTAATCCAGTGAGGATTTTCATTAGACCAATTTTGACGATTAGCATGACCGCGAAGTGTAAAGGTGCACTAATCAGAAAACAAAACATGTTCTAATTGGATCACATTGTTATCTAACAATACCATCATTTGTTCACAAAAATACGTTCTATCAAAATGCTCTTCCATGAGCTCCTGAGTTGGTTTCATTTTATAGGGATGCATTTTACTTTCTTTTAATATTCGAATAATCGATGAATGGCTAACATCGAACATTGGGGCTGCTTTTCGATGTGAGTTTTCCTCAAACTCAGGCATAATATCCAATTGTAAAGTTGGCATTGACCACTGCTACAGGACATACCCCGTAAAAAAGTTTTTGTTGAAACAAATGCGCAACTAAAAATACCAATCGACATATCCGAGCGTTTTTTCGAACACGACCCCATTTATTTATTACTGAATTTATTCCATTTGGCTGATACACACTGTATAGCTTTACTAAAACCGTATTTGAAGTACGTTCATATATTTAACATAATGACTACCTACTCAAAGTGAAGTGAATCAGGTATAAAGAGTGATAAACAAAATTTTCCATTATAACTCAAAGGAGGTGATAATTAAGTTTAAATAAATCATGAAAAACCTATAAACAATATTCTCTCCAACGTCAGCTGTCAAAAGTCAGATTAGAACTTGAAGTTTTAAATGAAGATAGTAGGTTCACATTGGAAAATAAGTACAAGGAGAATCAAGCTACCAGGCGGCGCAAACAAGTACCAGGGAAATCTAGGTATCTGGTGGCACAAAGAAGATTGAGAGGAATCAAAAGAACATCAAACTAGAGACTTGCAACAGTGAGTTAATTTAAGACCATTAGATGGAGATTAGGGAATGTAGTTTTTATTTTCAAACGTATGATTGAGTAATTTCTAAATTGTTTTCTTTAAATAAAATCATAAATATAAAAATCGACAGTGAAAGTTCAACAGTAATAGTCTATAATTTCGTCTGTGGGAGAATTCGCGCAAGGTTTTAAGATATTAAAGAGACATGGAGGCGGTTAGGTCATGTTTTAAGTCACGTGACCCACCTAATCTTTTTGAAACTAGCGAGCAACCCGTAACATTTTTATTTCTGGACCTAGCCCTTGGTTTGCTGGAATCTTCAAACGAAACGCTTGTGGGACGTCAGAACTAGTTTTTTTCGATATTTTCAACGATTAAAGAGATATGAAGGTGGTTTGGTTAGGTCACGTGACCCACCCAACATTTTTGAACCTAGCGATCAGCCCGTAACTTTTTTATTTCTCGACCTAGAGAATTAGTTTTTCGATATTTCAACGGTTAAGTTAAAACAAAGTAAGTAACGTAAATGTTTCCTCTATTAACATCATAAATTTTTAAAATAGACACTGGAAATAATTTAGACGATACTTCCTAACTATAAGAGCCATAATAGCTGATCCTAAGCCGTTATTCGTTATCATAAGGCGGTACTTTTACTGCTTTAATTTTATGTCCCGTCCCGTCACCGATAGACTTTTACGAGTGGCGGGAAATTCACATTATTTCATCGATAAGCTTAAGGTCGTGCCATGACCTCGGAAACCCGAAATAAATCCCGCGGGATCGCTTGTATAATTACGTTTTAGTTCCTGGATTACGTAGGGTTAACTGTGACGCCGCGCAAGACCTTGGAAGATCAGACTGAGCGTATAAAGTGGAGAGTTACAGTCTTTGAAAAGTACCACACTGACGTACATAAATATTGCGAAAGTTGCTTGACATACACTAACAATTTAATAGTTCAATAGGCAGGGACTCAGAAGTAGCCATTTTTCATAAACTTCGAGAATTTTTTTACAAATCGGCTGCACATATGTTTGATGGATTGAAAGCTTCGACATTAGCAGTGGCCATCGCTAGATGTAGCACTTACTACTCACCTTCACTCACTGAATGCCTGTAATTAAAACATAATAGCTGGATCATTCATTTACTAAACTAATAACTAAACTGATATATGCATATGAGTAACTAAATAAGACGGTTTTATTCTGTATCTGCTGTTGGCAGCAGCGGCAGAGTACGCCATCTGTAGTTACTGTGGCAAACGACACACTTGGAAACCACAGACCATAAAATAATTAAGGAAACTGCATAGGAAAACACAATTAGAGTAACTTCTAATTCTACCGTCTAATAGATGTCGCTGTACCATAATGGCGGCAAATTTAAAATAATAAAGTACACATAATTTTCGAACTGATTCTATCCACAGTAATTGTTTGTCTTTTGAAATTCTGAAAAAACTTTTATACAGTAAGTGCTTTGGCAATTTGGAGCACAACATTGACGTTTAGTTCTACCAGGTAAACTCATTTTGGATTAAAAAAACGAATAAAAATACAGTAAGGCAGTTCAGATGATTGATTCAATAAATCCCTTATTACATTAATCTAAAACAAAACAAATTTATTAATGCACAAAACGTGACAACCTACCTGAATATAAACTACAACCTCAGACATTCCATTTCTGTTGATTGAAAGATTGGAAATACAGATTGGATCTGTGGTTGCAGATTTCTGTTTAACAATTTCTATAAAGGACAATGTTTTGCCACAACAATGCGAGATGTCCTCAGTTAATGCATGTTCGGTCCGCCCTATTCAATAAAAGCCTCTTATTTAGTTACTCATATGTATATATGTTTAATGACAAACGATCCTAGCGTATTATGTTGATCGGGGCATTAGCCCGCAGAGTAGTTGTTTCCCGCAACATCATAAAAACACTTTCATCATTGTTCACGTTTGCCACAGTACGCCACGAAACGAAATATTCCTGTAATTTTTCATTTCCCCCTTCCCTGAATAATAGAAAATTAAGGTCACCTTTCCCAACCCTTATTCCCTGTAAGTGGAACTGGTGCGGGATAAGCTCCACACCATTCGGCGGATAATAGAGAGAATTGTGGAAACCGAATTAGCTATTTTATTTAATATCGTTCCCCAGCATGGGATGAGTAAATACAAAAAAATATTGTGCCCCGGAATTGGACAAGATGTTGACCCGATGGGAGGCGGGAGTTTCGTTCAAGTTCCGTACGTCGGGCAACTTTATTGTAAGATATTTTCCAATGGGGAGTCGGGGAACGGTTGAAGAGGTTCGAAGAAGCAGATCGATTCGAATAAATTTGAATCGGGGAGTTTTCGTTGAGCTTCTTTTTGTTCGGCTATCTAAAGTCCGCAATGTGAAAATGCATAAGGGCATGATTGCAATCACAATAAATTATGCATCACGCGGTGAAGTCTGTCAAAGTTATTCACATTTCCATCGAAAAGTTTGTGCATAAAAACATGATCTAAATCTAAAGCATTTTGGTTTACATTTCTATAATATGCTCTTTAATTGCAGAAATCTAAGTCGGACAGCCGGAGAGTGGTGCTCCATCCTGTGAGTTGGCAATCCAGCGGCCTCTACAGGTGCGAAGTTTCGGCAGAGGCTCCATCTTTCTCCTCTGCGCAGAGCGAAGCTCGAATGGAAGTAGTGTGTAAGTCAGTCCCATTTTAGAATAATTACAGCTAAGTAATTTTTTCTAACTGTTTGAATTCATTAGCACAATAAATATAAAGAAGAACAGATCTTCCATGGTGACATACAAGTGGTGACACCTAGCAGTGATTCTGGAAATTGGCAACTAAATCCTTATTTAAGACGGTGACTTGATATTTCTTTTCTCTTTTCCTTCAGGCTTTTGAAATGACCAAGACACTGTTTTGCTGACTTTTTAGTTGTGGTCAAACCCCAAAGATAATACTTTCGATTGAAAATGGAGCTTATCTCATTCCATTTAACACCACATGTCCCAAATTTTATTTAAATATTTTGTATCCTCACAGTAGACCTATACTATCGAGTTTGAGACACCCCGTACTTCTTAGAATAAGGGATGACTGTTTGCAGCTTCTTTGTTTCATTAATTACATGTGTTGGACACAAAGACGATTAGGAAAAGTGAATGCTATTAAGTACCCATTTCAACGTAAATTTTAAGGTTATCTGCAGATATTCATTTAAATGCTTAATAATATCATTATTAAAGAGTATAAAAAATATGGGGCCGAGTATAGAGCCCTGAGGTACTTCTAATGTTTGTACGAATTCGTTAGACATGACCTCCCCACAGTTGTAGCTAACGGTTTGAAAAACTCTACAAAAATAAATTAGGATTACTTAAGTAGTTACTTAAGTAGTTTTCAATATTTTATTACCATTTTTGAACACGGTACAGCTATTTTCCAAAAGTTTAGAAGAGTAGATTTGTTTAAAATAAAATTTGTGATAGTGTTGTTTCCCTTGCCGTGTCCAGCTCATTTGTAGGCGGAGCGATTTCAGACGCAAACTTATTCGTGCCGGTCTGTACAAGAAAACAACTCCATTTTTGCTCAGGCACCTTTGAATCATGCCAGACGCTAACGATGCTATGAAACTATAACGCTAACGCCCACACCGTAATCAACAGGGTCTCCAGTTACGGCCCTAATAAAATACGAATCAAATGAACCCGAAAACTGCGCCGGAGATACCGCGTATCCATTTTCTCCCCTATGGCTTCTACAAAACTTCAAAAGGGAGGGTAGAACAACCGACCGGAGATATATCAGACCGAATAAATGGATTCTTTGTGTACACCGAGTCTTCCGACCCGGGATAAGACACCTCGTTAACTTCTGCTGGTGTCCGTAATTCCTCCGAGGTGAATAAAATCGTTCGCAAACAAAGGTCTCGTCTAAGTCGCCGGGGATATTCTCAGATTGTAAATAAAATCTCTCGAGGAAATGGTAATTACCTAACGTAAATGTAAATTCACAAAAAATTATTGCAAAGTATATGGAGAGGTTGGAGAGGGTTGTTTGCTTTTTTTATTTACTTATTTTCCTTTTTTTCGGAAGATTCGCATAAAATTTTTATTTAATCCAGACCGTTTCTGTCAAATATTAAGCTAGTTCAACTGTTTAAGATTAAGGTGCCTGCCAAAGTAAACTGGACTTTTTAAAAATAAGAACAAAAAAAATTTTGTCACATCCAATTTATTTTATTCAAAATAGTTTCTTTCCGACTCAATACAGTAATTTGCACGGTCTGAAAGCATGCGGAATTAGTGTTTTAGATTATCGGAAGGGATGTCGGTACCAGCCTTTTGGATGGAAAAAACGACAGTAAAAATCTGTTTAGATGGCGTGAATCGGGACCCGTTGAGGTCCATTTCGCACTTGAAAAACATTTTTTTTTACGAACATACCCATTTTTTATGATAACTACAACTATCTGATACGCTGATAACGCTCTTAAATCTTGTTACTTGAACTGATTTTCTTAGCCAACAGTATGCGTAAGTAATGTTTTGACCACAACAGTAAGGAATACTCTGATCATAGATTAGAGAAGTCTGCTTTAGTTGTTACTGTTGCTGCTGCTGCTGCTGTTGTACATGTTATTGCTATCGTTGTTCCTGCTGCTGCTAGTGTTGTTGTTTTTGTTGTTATTTGTTTGTCTCCTAATTTTAGTTATCATAGTTCGTGGAAAAAAAATTGATTTCGCCATTTTTTTATTTTCTGAATAAAAAAAATGTTTTTACGCCATCTAAACAGGTTTTACTGTCGTTTTTCGTTTGTCTGTTATGGATAATGCCATTGGAATCCTAAAGGAAGGAAGGATCTACCTTGTAATTGCCAATAGATGGCCTCATTAGAAATAACTTTTTTTATGCCTTCTTGCAGTATCATGTACGTCTATAACAGTTTTCAAGACAGGTTCAAATTGACCCCTCAGTAAAAGCATCCAAAATTTATGTTTTAATTTGCAGACACTTAAGTTTAAAGGAAAGCCATTCCCGCTTTTTAGAGGCGTCCCGACATTTCAGTGTCCCGGCGACCGTGTCGGGAAGTTTATGATGGCAGGGGACAGTCTTGAAGCTGCTCCTCGAGCTAGGCGTCAGATCTTGAGCTTAAATGTATAATTACCCTTGTTACGACAGCAGTATACCTACTGGTATTAACAACGGTTGGATTACGCAACAACCCATATCAGTTTTAGTGTAAAGTCGCTAGTCTCCGTGATGCAGGATGCAAAGAACGCGCCTCAGAAGTTGTTACACAGAATTAGACAACATCCAGTAGACTAAACTAAACCGGTTGTAGAGCAATTTTTCGCGCGTTGAAATTCTTCAAATGAATAAAAATACTCGAGGCCCTAAATCCGACCCCTGAATCACACCTCTTATTTTCATCTGCTGATCCTATTTTTCATGACTTTCCATTAATTCAAATGATATAAGAGTGAAAAAGTATGTATACAGAAAGATTAGAGACAAATGTTATAATAATATCCTCGTTTAATAAACATACACCACTTTTAACTTTTATTTTCATCAAGAAAATCACATACAACGTACTCTAGTAACGTAATTCGTAATCCATTCTATCATAGATCATAGAAAACAATAATCATACTAGTGACAAATGATACCAACATAACATTTTTCTAACACAAATTTAGCTAAAACACTGCCCCCACTCTGTTTGAGACGCCCGCGCCCCTGTGTATTTATATTTTCATTCAAAACGATGACATGGAAAAAATATCGCGAGGTTTATTCTCGTTCGGCGCTGTCATTAAAATTACAGCAAAGCTGCCTTGACAAATATCGGTGCGTAGGACTGCCTATCAAACGGATTATTGTGTATATTCATATAGAATAGGTTGAAATATGCGGTTGTCGGATAAAATCAGCCGTACCGCCTGCGCTCCTCTTTTTTTTTATTAAATTGCTTTTATATTATCTTTGCATGACGGCAGCATATAGGCGGACGTTAAGTTGTCACAACACTAAGATATATTTTATCCTCCGCTATACAGATATTGTCTTCGAACCAAAATGAATCGAATACGTGGAGGGAGATATTGTATTTTTGTTATAAATATCCACAAAGGAATCCCCATCCTTAATATAACCGTTCATTCAGTTGTTTGCCTTGCTGTAATAAATTAGAGGCATTTATGCTGGCACGACAAGGTCGTATACACGACAAGTTATACACAAATTTAAAAAATATATTTTGGTTCAGAAACGACTGTCGGTTATATTTTAAAGTGTAACGTTGGAATATCGTTGCACATCCGCTCGTGCTCCTCTTCAAGAAATCCGTAAACAATACATCATTAAGGATCACTTCGAATAGTCCCATAAAACCTCCAATATCGTTGATCCCCCCTGAAACGACGCTATATTTCTAAAAGGTACTCGAACCAGCACTTTACGGCAAGGCCGTTACACACTAGGCTCCAGTTTGACAGAAGATCAATGGTATATCGAGATTGGAACAGATAAATGACAAATAAACGGAGATGGTTGAAAGTTATTCTAAGAGAATGTTAATCCGAAGGTCGGCACTTCGGTTGTGAAGCTAATAGATATGATATACAGAAATTCCTTTACGTTTTTAATTGTTACAATAGTAAATAGGAGAAGGTGACGAGAGGGTAGAAATCCTATTGACTCATAAGACAAAATGTCGATAACTCTTATATCACCCATCAAATGAGAAGGCCTGAGAAAAAGCAGATCAAGAACAATCATCAAATTTCATCTAACACTTGTCACAAACTGTTTAAGAACTAGAACCAATCACTAACGATAATAGAGACCACATTAGTTTAGACAACAAGTGATGAAGTCCAAGGTCATATAAATAATTCTGTAAAAAATTGTGAGAATGATATTCAGTCGCTCCATAGTGCATCGGTAATAAAACACTCCCCGATCTAAGCCTTTAATGGAAGACAAAATCCGTAGAATCACCAAAAACCACCTTGATGCACTACAAAGCCATTCAAACGACTTAGCCAGTCAGATGAATGTTTATTCCACAATTGCAAGAAGGTTAAATAGTTTTTGAACAACAACTCATCAAAAACAAAGACTGGGGAAAAGCAGATTAGTGACAAGCTTCAACTTTTTCCGAACAGTTACAACAAACAGTTTAAAAACCAGAACCAATCACTAATGATAATGAAGACCACATTAGACAGTTCATGTCCTATGTTGTTACCAATCAAAGACTTCAGTTCATCTGAAGTGAAATAAAAAATCTAGAATTAGGGAAATGGCATCTGGTGTTAACTTTTAGAACAAAATTGGTAAACATTTTAAATTGGACTCGAGGGGGTTCGTGAGGTTTTCTAGTGCAGGGCATTAGAAGGTTTTTTCGGTATAGTCAGTGCGGGGGTTCGTGGTTGAAAACGTTTGGAGCGGGGCTCGCGATTAACTGCGGAAGACAATTTGTTGAGTTACGTTTTATTTAGTATGGGAAAGGGTTTCTGGATGAATAAGCTAATTATTTAGATTATTTTGGTTAGTTTTACATCGAAAGCGTTTGGCAATCAGGGGGAAGTAGATTTTTTTTATTTGTAATAGCGGGAAATGCGAATTCCTCTCGCCAAGAGGTGGTAGAACGTATATACCGGGTGGGGTATTTATCTCGAAACAAA